CTCAAAATTCGACCGGGAAGGCAGTCAAATAAATTCTTGAAACTTACTGCACTTTATATATGCGCAGAATGTGCAGTAAGCTTCAAGAATTTATTTGACTGCCTTCCCGGTCGAATTTTGAGCTGAAATTTGGTATGGACAAACTAGACTTGATGAGGAACATGCTCAAAAAATTTCATCAAAAAATTCCACCGGGAACCGCCCCAAACAGTAAAGTTCGGACGATCCCTCCCGTCCCTCCGGAGGGACCTGATCTTTTCTGACGTTGTATATAAGTTATTATGCTAGAATACATATAAAAAAAACTAAATGCATTTCAAAACAAATAGATTTGTAAGGAACTAAAGATCCGTAAAAGGATGACTATTACGAACTTTTGTTATATGCGTAGTACTTTTTAGTACCTAGTGTATTAAGACAGGTACCTAGTATATCTCATTCTGAATGGTTTTTCCATCTCAATGTTTTTACTGGCTATATTTTTCTGTTATATTTTCTTTTCGTTTTGTTCAGTTCTACGTAGTATATCATATCATACGGCTTAATGTTTTTTTATGTCTTGCTTCAAACTCTAAATTATATGTGGATTTTGTAATTATAAAGTATGGGCTCAATTTTTATTTGAATTTCTATGTGGATAATGTAAAATTATATCCACAATACCTTATCTGAAGTGGAAAAACTAAGACGTACAGAAACCAAAGAATATTACTACGTGATAAATTAGTAAATTACATGAACAAATAACAACTAAATGAACATATATAATTTGTTGAAAAAATACCTAAAATTATACTAATATGCTTGTTCCCAATGACCAAATATTTGTCAACTAAGGTTGTAACGTACCATAAGTCTTTAATCTGATTAGATTAATGTCAATAATGTTTACTTTTCTGGAATTACATTGTGATTGAATTATTCTACTTAATCTATAACCAAAAGGTTTAAACACACCTCTTGATTTTGAAAAATGCACTTAATGTGTTGGTCCCATAGTTACGCACCAGGCTTACTTGGAGTGCCGAATTTTTCTTAGAGCTCTTGGATTCTATTGATCGATTAACATCTTCACATCTCTAACAACACAATGTAATAACTGATTAACTGGGATAGATAAACAAATTAATGTAACAAACAAATATGAATATGGAGTTTCATAAAAAAGAGGATGACACCCCATCCCTGAGGGCCCCCAACACCGACCGGACGGCATGATGAGAAGATGTAAATTGGACTATAATCACAATCTGACGAATATGGAGTTTCATAACGTTACATGTAGAGGACTGAGGATACATACACGCTATATAATGAAAACATTCAAAATAGCAATTGTAATAGCAGTCTAGTAAAACCAGTTGAGAGTTTCACATGTACATTACGGCCCCCAACACCGTGAATGAATATTTATAAGGACTAAGCACATGATTTATCTACAGGGAAACGTTATGATAATTGTAATGAAGGTAACCACCCATACGTACACATTTTGATATTGTAAACAGTAAACTGCTAAGGGAGTGTTTGCAACTGCTTGTGCTTAAAAAAAGCACTTTTGGAGAAGTAAAGAAAAAGTGATTAGTAGTAAAAGTTAATAGTGTTTGAGAAAAGGTAGATTCTATGGTACCTATAAGGTATCATACCTTTGTCCACATGGACCAATCAGAATGTTGCAGTTAAATTATTTAAGTCTAAATTAAAAATGATATACCTATTTGGACAAATCAAGGGAGTGGTAGGTACGGTACCCCCATTTTTTAAATGGGTACCGGAGTTCTCACATTGAGAAAAAAGTGATTTTGAAAAGTAAAAGTTGGTAGTGTTTGGTAAAATAAGTGTTTTTTGTGTAATACTCTGTAGAAAAGGGAAAAACACTTTTCACACGCAAGCCGAGAAACAGTAAAAGTTTGTAGTGTTTGGTAAATAAATGTTTTTTTGAACCAAAAGCTGAGAAGTGCTTTTTTTAAGTTGTTGCAAACACTCCATGAGTGGAAAGTGCCGTTTGCAACCTCCATTACGAAAAATTCTAATATGATCAACAAAATTACACCATACAAATAAAGAATATTCCAGATTTCCACATGTACACATCTCGGAATTCTATTGCCACGTGCGTCCATTCTCCACGTTTGACGATGAGCAAGAAAATTTCTTAGAAATAATGTTATGCAATATATAGTGGACAACTCTACTATAGGTACCCCAATTGGTACCCCCAATTTGTACCTCATCCTATTTTTGTGGCTCACAAAAGCCCACCTCAATAAATGAATTGCCCCACTTTAATGAGGTACTTTTGTGAGCCACCAAAATAGGGTGGGGGTACAAATTGAGGTTTTAATTGGGGTACCTTTAGCATTTTTCTATAGTGGAACGTGTATCCAATTTTACTTACTTTTTGGTGAATGTGCCACGTGTACTCTAATTGTGCCAACTTATGAACAAAACGGTTTTAGGGCGGGAACATTTATCTCCCACGGTTCCCTTTTTATATGTATATAGATGTGTGTGTGGATTAAAATTCTACTCCGTAATATTTATTTTTATTTATTTACGATTTATCTCAATTGATGTGATAAATAATAATATATGACTTTTAAATACATTTATCTATTATCATTTTTAATATATGCATATACATACCGTGCAACACCCGGGTGAAATACTAGTATAATATATGATATCACACAAGATTTCTGACTTGTACTCACATTAGTCGATGAACAAAAAAAATAACATCATAAGTGTTGGCAATTGGTGAACAGTCTTGGACTTTAGTGCAAAAAAACATGGATGAATAACGACATGGAATTTATAATACATTCACGGTTCGCCATACATTGATAACCAGTAGCCATAACTTTATCAGGTCACTATAAAACTTTCCATATAAATGTTGCAGAGATTGAGACAGCCCTTTGGTCCATGGAATGGGTTGTGGCTGAAGGAAGAGTCTAAAGTGCATGAACGAATCGAAGGCCACAACACACCAATAGTCAATACCTTTGCTAGTGCCTGCCATTCTGCCAATACATGAACTTGGTAGAGGTAGGGGTGGATTAGGTTCCGGGACCGGTCTGAATGGAACGGGACTTGGTGACGAGGTTCACGAGGACCTGTCGCGCAGCCCCGGGCTGCATATATTTGATGGAGACCAACCGGTCCGGTTCCGATATGGTCTCAATGGCTAATACGAGTACATTATTCCTGCTCTTTTTCTATTGATTTTATTGAAGCATAGATCGGTTGGGGGCATAGGTCCGTTGTAGACTTGTAGGGTTGGGTGGGGCTCAGTAATTTTTTCCCTATAAATACTTTTCATTTTTCTCATTTTCCCATTCTTCAATTCTCTCTTTTCATCATCCATAATTTCTTTATTATAATAATATAATCTCTATCCTCAACTTACTTAATATTATTAATACCACATATATTCATATATACATAATATACATATAATAGTGATTAAAATATTGATTAGTGTAGACTATAATATTGTACAACATTTTCATTTATACTACAATTATTTTATTAGTCATATTTTTATTATTTAGCATACATTTATTATCATTAAAATGTTAAACGCAAGAAAGCTTATTTATATGCATAAACTTTCGCATAACCGTAAGGAGTTCTAAATTCTTCTTTGTCCAAGAGTTATGGAAAATATCTTGTCGGGTTATTATCATCACGACCCCAGTGAAGCCAATGAAAGTTGGGGATTTAATCCTCGTGTTGCAATGACAACTAGGATATGCAACAATTGTTGAAGATGATTTTAATGGAATATAGGAAGAAATAAAATAAGACCCAGTCTCGATAGACAATGATGATCAACAATGGTTCGATATGCCATAGGACGAGCAAGGGAGCGACGCAAGCTCTTCCACACAAGTGACAACATTCTATTTTAATTGAGCGAATTTGATTGAACTTACTTGGCAAAACTCATAAAAACAATTTCTACTATCAATGATTCTACAATAATAATCTCTACTGAAAGTTTCGATAAAAATAATTCAAACTAGCAATGGTGTTCATGGGAAATAAATAGAAGTGAATCCAAACTAATGCCCCTTTAATACTTCCAACCCCTACTCCCAGATAAAAAAAAAAAGTGATTAATCACTTGGGAGTTGGGAGCAACACCACATACTCATTTGAGGATGGTTAAAGATTTTAGAAACCTGAGACTCCTGAGAGCTAATGTGCACATTAATTCGATTTTGAAGGGCCAAGATTTTTATTCTCAGAGTATTAATCAAACCTCGCCCTAGAACACCTCAATTGTCATAAACAAAATAAAAGCATAACAAAGTGATTGTCAACGGCCACTAGCTACAAGCCTGCATATAGGAAGGCAGTTTGATACTATAGTGTTCCTTAGAAGATCGCTTCATGGGGCCATAGAGGAAGGTAGTTTGATACTATATAGCGGACCTCGGCCGGTTCTGGTTTTTAATTTATTTTTAAAAAAATATAAAAAAGCAAAACTGAAATAGGTCAGTTTCAGACCTATTTTGACAGAAGTCACAGAACTGGAGCTGAAAGTGCACATAAATGACATAACCAGTCCTGTTATTCACCTGCCCAGTTTTGATACAAGAGGTTTCATGTCCGCCCTGATTTAGGGCTTGTTTATTACTACGTGCAGTCTGGACTCTGGACATTGCAAGGCATTCAATTGTTGTTGTAAGTATTATGTGTGATGGTACATACTCCCGGTTCCCAGTCCCCCAAAGGCAGTAACTGAAACCACCATGTTGCTCTAAGATATCTTTCCGGGTTCCAATCCTACTTGGGCTTGCAATCAAGCCGGGTCTTGGAGTATGAGGGGAGGAGGGGATTGGAACCGACCAACATAAGACCAGTCCTAGATCTAGGATCAATTTATCAATCGTTCCAGTTCCAATAACGGGCTGATCCGGGATCTGATTAAGCATTGAGGTGTGAAACCAGGTCTACCCCTAGTTACAATGCATTTCCACTGTTCTACGTGTGAAAGCACCATAAATAAACTCAATTCATAAGATTCTTATATGCAAAAATTAGAATTCAGTCACCAACTCTCAGAATCCCGCACTGCCTTATACCATGCAGAAACTTCAGTCAATAGCAAATTAGCAATAATAAAATCGGTCAAATAGTTCTAGTAGTGATTCAAGCAGATGACAGCCGCATATCAGATTGGCATAAATACAAAAGTGTGCTTACACTACTTTAGATTTAACTCGCTAGCATCAAATATTGCACTCTGGAATTCCTTCATTATTACCTGAACGACATATATCTTTCCAGCTTCTCTTTCTCAAAACTCTGTTGTTGTACAAAGTAAAACATAAACCTCAACGCGTTTCCCAATCCTTCAACTTCTTCCCCTTGGGCTTTGCAATAGGTGTGTTTACAGCAGCCATCTTTGCATTATACTTTGCCCGAAGTGTATCATTGTAAGTCCACCTTCATCAAGTAAAAATATATCATGTTAAACTATTAACTATAAAGCAACATGCTTAAAAGAAAAACTAGCAAGATAACCCAAGGTTAAATTTATATTGGAAGACTCGCCAGTAACTCTTCTCAACACAGCCCTTAATCCTAACACAATAGAGGTCATAAATCCTATTTTTCCCAACTCCCTATCAAGGTAATGCTAAATTTATCATAATATATCCTGATTGAGTGGCAATAAATTGTCATCGATCAAAACCTATATTTTCTCAGCTGGCTAGGTACACTAGTTAAATATGGTCCATTATAGTTTCCAAACATCCATCTTTATTTTTCCTTGCAGTTATAGGCAGTGTAGCAGCTAATTCGTGATGGTTGATGGACATAGGAATTCCAAAATTTCCCAACGTTTGCAATTGTATAGTATATTGGCTGATTGTTGACCCATAGAACATAACTCAAGTACCACAAAAAATGGTTGACACAAATAGAAGCAACATAATCATCACCCTGTCAAAGGTAGGTACTTGCTTAAATTGCACAGAAACAGCAATACTACACCTTAAAGTGCGAGAAATCAAATAAACTAATGGAACCATCACCCATCTTAGAAACAAAAACTTCCATCCTTTGAATTTTAGCACCTAATGAGTCTAGCCTAGAGCACGTAAAGGAAGAATTCCTGGTAAATCACTTCTTAAAAAGATAAATTAATGAAGGTATTAAAATAAAACTAAACAAGAAAATCAGTAAAATCACTCTTCTCGATTTTCTACTTGATTTATCTTTTAATTTTCTATATTTTTATAATGTAAAGAGTAGCATGCATGATGCATCATATATCTGGCATTATCGACATAGGCTATCAATATATCATATATGCAATTACTTTCAAGAGATCAATTTAAACAGCTATGATGAAAATCTCTTCAAATTCATAAATGTTTAAACAACTATCATGTAGCTGGAAAAATAGACAATCACAAACAGCTCTTTCAGCATAATAATTTAATTGGATATTATTAATACAATTAATAAAACTTAAATGGATCCTGCACATGACTTTAGCTATAATCAATCAATGAAAACAGAAAATGAACTTCTGTAGACGCCTATAACTATAATTAATGACCACTTCGCATGAAAATTATCACATTACTACTTCCAAACAGTTAAATTCTATTCTCTACTCTTTTCAATAGTTATAAACATTTTTGTAACTAACTAGTATAAACATATAATAACTAACTTGTATATATATAGTAGGCATATTAACTGGTTATATAAGCATTGAGCAACAAAAAATGAAGAAAAAAAACTTACGGGTTGTTCCAGTCAGTTGTGTCTTCATTGACTAGATGTGTCCATTTTGTCCTTCCACTACGACCAAAGTGCTTAACCTGCATGACTTTGGGTAATATAGTTTTATCCAACTTATCCTCTCCGGTTGGTGCAGAGAAATCACGGCTGAAGATATTATCAGCACCAGATGTTCCAGCTTTGTCATCAGGATTTGACTGGAAAAACGCACCCTTGTGGAAGTATTTCTGCATGAACTTCCACTTTTGCTTGGTTTGAGCACCCTGTTTAGGGTTCCTCCTCTCCCACTCCTTCCTCTCTTCCTCAGTCATGTTCCTTAGCCTCTCTATTTCTTCCTTCTCCTTCAAAACAGTGTCCCTGTCCTCTTTCTCCCTCTTAATCCTGGCAATCTCTCGTGCTTTCCAGGCTTCATATTCTTCTGCCTCATTCAACTCATCATCAGTGTCTACATCGGCAATGTTAGCCTCCGATTCCAGGTTCTTCTGAATCTCTGTTGCCTCCCGAATCTTCTCAACTATAATTTTCTTTGTCTCAACTTTCCTCTCTTCCAACCTCTTCTTCATCATCTCTTCCAGAGCTAGTTCTTCAGCCTCAATCCTCTCACGCTCAGCTATCGTGTCTCTCTCAGACTTGGGCACGAAAACAGGTTTTACCATTGCTATTCCAGTAGTCTCTTCATCCGATTCAGTCTCATATTCCGATTCTTCTTCTTCCTCCTCATCTTCTTCCCCTTCTTCTTCATCTTCTTCAGGGAGAGCCTCTTCCTGCTGCCTTTGAAGCAACTTCTCTCTAATTCTCCTCCTCTTCTCTTCCATGGCATCCTCATTCTCTTCCTCCTCGACGATCCTTTCCTGTCTTCTGGTTTCCTCTTCAATAGTTGAGACGATCTCCGCTTGACGGATGCGTCTATGATCAGCTCTTACTTCCTCGCGATTGTCTATCTTACTCTCCGCCAGACGCCTCAACCTCGGGTCATCCTTCCTTCCAGCATCTGATCCATCGTGGCTGGGGAAGGTCTTCTCCAGGGCAGCAGCCCTGGACATCCTCATACCCTCATCTTCTTCCCCTTCGTCTGCCCATTCTGGAGCTTTACCAGGCCAATACCTTTTCACTTTCGTCTGGCCAATTTTACCTCGAAGTTTCTCCCGAACAGCTATAACAGTATCACTCACCCCTGCTGTGACAGACATCTCTCCCCCAAATCAATCAGCTTAATTTCCACCTTATTACTGGAAACTACTCAAATCTGGAATCTATAAGGTTTAAGTGAATCGGCGGTGATGACTTGCGGCGGCGGTTGCAGCGAGTATTGGGAGGCTTTTTTGTGCCCAAGGACGGAGGCGACGAGAGATATACGAAAACTACCGGGCAGATGTGATTAGGTCTGATCCGAACCAGACGACCCGGTATTCGTTAGGGGTTCGTGGTCTGGTTTAAGCCAGTACAAAATTGAAATACTAATTGTATTTATCATCCTTACTTGTTTTGCCAAAAAATCATCCTTCTTGATAAATATTACTACCTCCGTCCCATATTTATCTTCATAGTTCGGTTTATGATGCTTGACTGACGATAAAGCAACTCGATCTCTGTTCACACTCGGATTACTTTTAGTAAATAAAATTTACATATTCAGAAACTACATTAAAACTGCTACAAAGCCTGATCAAGAAAATTTAAGTTTGATAAAAATTTGATATATAAAGTAAAAGATTAAGAGTAATTTGAGTTGACCATGTGAATAGTAACTATGAAGATAATTTTGGGACGGAGGGAGTAAATATTTAGAAGTATCTATAGTTTTATATAGTAAACTTGAGTTAAAAAACAATGATGTGTCAACTTCTTATTGGATAATGCAAATTCTATTATCATTACAATTAAAACAATTAATTAAATCAATGTCCACCACACCTAAGTATAGTACATTACGGCTGATTTAGAGGAATAGTAGGAGAAAAAATCTCTCTTTTTTAAAGTGATGTAACTTTTATATTTATAATCCAATTTTTACAAAAAAACATATCAAAATTCATAACTTTTTAAAATCTTTCATATGACACCAATATTATATATGTGAAAATATATAAAAAAATATCTATTATTTTATATAGCAAAACTGAGTTGAAAATTATATTGATTAATAAAAATTCTATTATGACTACTACTAAAACATTTAAGCATATTTTTACTTGGACTGTAACCTATCCCAGACTAGACCAGACCAGACTTGGATAGTTATAAAAATACAAAGAGACCATACATTACCAGACCAGACCAGATCAGCAAATCACAATCCAAGTAAAAACATCTTAATTCATATAAGTTGACTCGGTTCATCATTGTTATTCACTACATGCATCATTGATCATTTAGGGAAAGGGAAGGAGAGAAAAAATCTTAATTTAATTTAATGTATTATAACTTATTCTTATTTATCTGTACACCAATTTTGACAAAAAAAAATACATCAAAATTTAAAACTTTTTACGATCTTTCACATGACACAAATTGTAGAAAAGTATACCAAAAATCATAAAGTTTTATTATCTTTCATATGACAACAAATTGGATATATAAATAATTATTTGAAATTTGAGTTATAAATCAATTCAATGATATATCATATTTATAGTGAAATTTGAGTTTAAATTTGCATTATGGGAAGTGCACATTTATATAGTAGTCGTGAAACATATTAAGAATCCAAATTTCATTATATATTTAAATTTATTGTTTTATTTAGTAATGCGGGGTTACAAACTGGTGACGTGTCACTATGTTATTGATTAATAAAAAATCTATCGTCATTATTGTGAAAACATTTAATTAGTTCCAAACAAAAAGGAGATCTGGTAAAAATAAAAGGAAATGAAATAGCTATAATGAAAAGGGAGGGAAAAAAGGAGGAAGAAAAATGTTAAATAACTAACATTTGATATTATGTAGACTCCACATATCAAACCATTAATTAGTTCGTACAAAGATGGAACAACTAATGGAAAAGTCTAGAGAAAAGTAGGAGAAAAAACGTAAATAAGATATCCTTGGAAGCTATTATGTTACTTTTATTCTTATTCTTATCGTTTACTCCATATTACTTATTCTTATTTTATTCAGAATAAAAGTCAAATCAGATTAGCCCATGCAAAACATTCAATCTAGATTAGATTAATTAGAAAACTTCAGATCAGAATAGAAAAATTCGAACCAGAAATAAAAAATTCAGATCAGATCATAAAAATTCAAGCCAGATTGGTTCAAACATAATTTATTATTTTTACTATTATGATGATTCCAATCTAATCTAAATATTTTTGTAGGTTATTATTGCATGTTGCTTCCATTGAAATCAATTACGAATATTGTTAATTATTGTAGTCATTATTTGTATGTTATTTAAAAAAAAAATAGATTAGATCAGACAAGATCTTAAAAATTTCAGATCATATATATTCATATCTGGCGAATATAACAACTTCTTAATATCAACCATATTAATGGAGTATAATTCTCGGAATAAATACCATATCAATTCAGTTTTCAAAATAATTGTACAAAATCAATTTTTTAAATAATGAGACTCGAAATCTCCAATACATGTAATAGGACTCTAATCATAAAAAAGTAATCTTACTCATTTGAGTGAGACTCTAATTCAAGACTAAAATTTTAAATAATGAAACTTTAGTTCACGTGAACGGGACTCTAATCCCACAACACAAATTAAATAATAGACGTGAATATCCCAAATAATGTAAAATTGTAAGCTCCACATATTCTCAATTTCAATTCAACGCTTCTTATAATCACCCTCATCATATAATTAGTCATATAAATAATTAATAACTATTACAATACTAAACACACAAATCACAATGTAATCCCAAATTCATACTCCAAAAGATGGTGATTCATCACCTGTATTCCATGGTGGTGGTTAGTTCATACTACCTTCGTCCCTCTTTATTTGGCCATATTTGACTTTTTCAGTCAAAGATGATAAAACTTTGATCTATTATTTTAACTAATATATTTTTTTGAAATTAAAGTTAATAAATTTATACTTTTATGAGCAGAAAGTTTTAACAAATAACATTTCATATCATTTCCATATTATCATTACTACTGTATATAAATATATAATTGGTCAAATTCAACATCATTGACTTAAAAAATAGTGTTTGGTTAAATATAAAGCGACAAAGGAAGTAAAAAAAATCGATTATAACCAAAATTTGATCATATCCTATGAATAATTCACAATGTTTATCTGTATTTGTCACCTCACCCATATCAAATTAACACTACCGGGGCATGCCCCGGGTGTTACACTAGTTGAAAACTATATTAATGTAATAAAATCATGAAAAAATAGTCATCCTTAATGTGAAGTATCATTTCTAACATCTAATAGGAGTTGGTACCCTTAAATTGTGCCAACACATTTTATGCATAAGAACTTGTACATTATTCTTAATAAATGATACCATAATTTTCATGTGACTATTCTACCCTTCTCTAGTATTACTTAGTCCGGTCAAATAAATGGAGCATCTTGTTAACGTGTATATAAATAGTACGTAGTATTACGTATTAACATACGTACAACTTTTTATTCATTTATAAATAACTTACTAGTTACATCTCATATTATATTTTTCTTCATTCACTTTTCTCCTTTCAAATAATTATACCATTATATTATATTATATTCATGCTACAATATATAAACACCCACATTTCACATCTCAATTTTATAGCATCACGATTAACTAATAAAGTTATAAAGTAAACTATTATTATACTTTTTCTTTACTACCTAAATATTAAACTTCTTTTCTCCTATTAATGATAAGTAGATTTTTTCTTCTCAATTCTATTAATTATTGAATTGTGAATTTTGAGTTGCTTTACTCAGGGTTTTGAGATTAGTAGTGGGGTGTTCTTATGATCTAGAGTTTCTTCCTTCGGGTTGATTGCATGAATACTATTTAATTTGTATTTCAATAATTTAATTGTTATCATTTATGGTTCAGAATGACCGCTAGGATTATAACCGTATATAGAATAGTTATGAGACATCTAAATTGTTTATGACACTTTAACACACATCTTATCACGCGCTAAGAGATTACCGCGGTTAGAGAGCATGTACGCTAGCTCATCTGGCAACGATATAGATGCATGTTGCATGAGAGTTGTACATACATACGTTTACAAATAGTATAATAAGTCATTAGTGTTCTGATCTTATAAGCATTTTATATATTTAGTCCCTCGGGATTTTGGGTTAGAAGTCAATTTGCAAATTAAGCTGCACCAATTATTTAGCTTTGTATCAAGTATAGCGAAAATTGTTTTGTGTTAAAAAAGAAGACCATTTACAAATTAAGTTGCACCAATTATTTAGCTTTGTATGAAGTATACTGAAATTCGTTTAATCTTACAATATTGTTTTTAGAATATTTTTGAATTTTAATTTTTTAACCTATGAAAATCCTATTAAAAAAAATAAGAAATTCAATAAACATTTAAACTTGCACTACAACACTAGCTCAATATCCATTTATATAAAGGCAACCGATAACACAACTATAATAATATATTTTTAAAAAACTACTATGGCTTCAATTGTTCCTTACCCTATGCCCCATTAAAACCTCACATAATATGGCATTTCTTACTTTGGTAAAGTAGTTATTTACTCGAGATTATATTACTTTAACATTGAGTATAAGTTAGCGTGCCTTGCGCCACCAAACGTTGGTCATTAATATACTGGTCAAAACTTCTTCATCTAATTATAAGAAATGAGGTGAATAAGTCCATTTTTCATGCTTGTAGTCACATGACATCATTCTGACTTTTCTAAGGAGAATGTTAAAGTTCAAATCTCATCTCACTTCAAAAATATTAATCTTTAATATAGAATATATTATAATACTACTTAGGTTAGAAAGCACAACACAGACAAAATTGAAAAATAATGAAGAAACTCGTGTGGGGAACACTAGAGCATCTTCAATGCAAAAATGTAACGGTGCATATGTGACATGAGAGAACCATTAAAAAATCAACAAATAGAATATCTCTCTCCTTATTACAACAGTCTTATGTGTTTTTGGTAAGTTTTTCTCCACTATGTCAAGCACAATGTCTAGATGTAAACATTGTGATTGAGATTGTTGAGAAAAACTTACCAAAAACACATAAGACCGTGAAAAAAGGAGATAGAAATGTTATAAATTTAATCTTTTGTGTCTATCTCTCTCATGCAATATGTGGACCGTGCACATTGTAGATGTTCTTACTCCCTTTTTTTTATGTTGGGCTAATTATGCATGTTAGGGGGGATACAATTGGGGCTCAATCTTTT